GTATATACCAGTATTTATTTTACAGACTGAAAGTGATGGTAAATGAAATTGCTTTTACAACAAGAAGGAGAAATGGCACTTGCATACACAACTTACCCCAATGAACAGGAAAGGAGGAATTGAGAAGCAAAGGAAATGTTTGTCCACTCAGTATAATGCATTGCCTAAAAGAAATAAGCACATTAATATATAAATACTCAATTACATTTATTCTGTTACACTCCACTTCTCTCATCCACACTCCTGGTATGTGGGTGGGCCTTCAACATCCTCAAGTAGAAGCACGACTGTTGGTCTTGCCTTTTACGTGATGACAATGCAGATGCCGTGACTAGTCCAACAGTGAAGAGGAGCAACTTGTAAAGCAATCATACCATGGGGAGGAAGCCTGCAGGAGAAAAGTATTGCTGCTTACTCCTTAACTCCTAGGCTGGAGGTTGGCAACCTGTCAATAGCGGTCTACCCATCAATCATATGCATGTGATGGATATATATTGCAACTGACCCATCCATATCGCTAGCTTGTTACGTACGGTGTTACTTGACCCTGACCACTACACTCTGCATTACATACTACTGACCTCTGCACAGCATGCTGCTGACCTCTCTACTCTGCATTACTTACTACTGACACTGAACTCTGCACGGTGCGTTACTACTGACCTCTGCACTCTTTGCTATAGATGTTTATTATGTTCAGGTAGATCTCCACCTAGCTACAGCAATAACCCTTTGCATTGTGAGGGGGGAGTATTGCCTTGTGTATTTTTAGAGCTGACTTGAGTTCAGTATTAAAGCTTAACTCAACAGGTAAATACACAGTTGAAGTACACTGTACATATATGGGAACTGTTTAATCCACCAAATGATTTGTATTTCTGTCCATCCATCCTTGTGATTTACATGGGCCTATCAGTCTGCACAGCCAGGTTGGTGACTTGAGTTTTCTCCACTGTAGGCAAGTAGTATAACTAGGTTATGCTGTTACACAGTTAATATTTATGTTAATGTACATGAGAATTCATATAGTTTATTTTTTGTACCATTTCCTATGGACATTTCTATAGTTTAGCTATGCTGCCATCCAGTGGCCTTATTTGGTAATGCATTTGTTTTTCATATTGCCTCCCTGAGATCTATGACACAGTTCCTTTGTATATGAAGCTCCTCCCTTCTTCTTGAGTACATCACTTCCTGTGTCATGGATGCAGCTAACAGACCACATGTAACAGGAACACATGTATTCTGCATAGTACACTACAGAAAGTATCATCTTTTGACCGCATAATACTGGAAAACCATTCATTTTGCTGTATCCTGTTGTCACATGTACAGAATAAAAGCAACTTCTGGATGAACACAGTATTGGTGAGTTCAGCTATCTGATAAGGATTTCCCACAGTGATTATATCTGCTTATACAGGCTAGGCAGAGAGGTCTCACAAGGGATAAATTGCTATCACAACAATCTGAGTCAGAATATAGGTCACCTACATTCCCTGCTCATTAGTCTCTCTTCCTGTCAGCATGTTCAATGGAAGCTGACAAGAAGTACAGCAGTACATTTGATAGGCCCTAGCAATGTACACCCCACCAATCTGAGTTCAACTGTGCAAGGGACTACAAAAGGCTGACACCAAGTATAATTTAAGTACTTTTACTACTGCAAATAAAAAAAAGTATTGCCTTTTTAATAAATGTGCCAGTGTTTTGTTTTTTTTAATTTTTTTTTCTCTATATATTGCTTTGAAGTTCAGCTTTAACTTGTAGAACAAGCTTTTTTGCTATGATAGTCTCTTTCTTAGTTGTTACACTATGTAGACCAAAAATGGAGAAATTATGATTGTTTTTGTAGCACCCACCTACTTAGCTGCTGGTTCTGGATCCCCCTATTTTCTTCAGGGCCAGGCAGCATGCATTTTCCAACTTCCATTCAGAGTCAGTGTCCAGTCCATGGGCTTGTTTTTGTTGATTTATTTGGGGGTAAACAAGTTGGATAGAGTCTAGGGGTATATGGGATGCCCAACTTGACACCAATACTGAGGACAAACTTCCTAAATGCTGTCCAAAAATGTAGCCTCCTGGACTTTTTACGCCCCTCCGGAGAGGCAACAGTCTCTTCACAGATCAGTAACAGTCCTTGTGAGGTCCCCACTAAGTGAACCTCTTCAGACATCAGCTAGGAAATGCCCATTAACCTGGCTGTTTGAAGAGTATCCTGGAGCAAGAGACTCTGGACCAGACTTGAAGTACTGTCCCAGGGAGAACTGGTTGGGTATAGCACCTAGCAGCCTTCTCTCCTGTAGGCCCCTGGGGTGTAGAGGTACTCACACTGTCCTTGTGTGCTGTAGCTTTGGATAAACTGCTTTCAGGATTTTTGCTGGGTTGGTTTCCTTCCAGGCTAACAAGCCGTCCTTCAGTGGACTGCAAGGCAGTGGAGCTCCCTCTGTCAAATTCCTTCTCCCGTCCTTCTGACCTCCAGTCTGGAGGCAGAACCCCCCTTCTCCGGGATCCCCTCCAGGCTACACCTTAGCACACCTTAGCACTCCATCTTCCACCTGCCTCCCCAGCTGGCCAGGCTCTCTCATATTTATGGGCCAGTCTGCCATACTACTAGGCCAACTGCCTGGGATTGGTCAGACCCATAAATATGCAGATCAGCTCCTCCTGGCCTCCACGCATTGGCTTCTAGAAACTCCTCCAAGCGTCTAGAGCCAGGGGGAGGTACCAGAGGACTGACCTGTAGAGCCCTCCAGCATGACCTGAAGTGAACCCTCTGACTCACACCCACACCACACCTTCTAACAAGCCTCCAACTACACTCAAAAACTTTGTACACAAGAGGGCACTACACTTTTATTAGCATAATAAAACATTCTTCAAGACAGAACAATGCTTTGCAATAGATTCAGGTTTTCACACTGGATCGTTTGAGCAGTGGGGAGAAGTTTAACACAGGTGAACTTCAGTCAGGGGAAAATATTTTTGTATATGCACTAAGCTACAAAGTCTTGTTGTGGGCTAACACACAGCTTTTTTTTTTTTTTTTTTTTAAACTGAGTCGTGTTAGCCCTGCCCAGTTGCATTTTGCTAAACTACTCAAACTCCTTCCACTCTTTCATCTCCACAACATAGACACTAATTATTCTGTAGTCGAAAAAAAGAACTAGGGGGGCTAATTAGACTCCTCGGTACGGACGCAGAAAGTGTGTACAGGAAAGTTCTGAATTTCTGACATGATCAAGGTACAGTATATTATTGCACTTATCGAACAGATAAAACCAAAAATGCATTTATTGGCATATTTAACAGACCAAAAAAGGTAGTAAATAAAAGATGTTCATTTTTAGAACTTACATTTAGGCACACACAAGACAACAGCATCCATCATCATAGCATAGAGTGTTAAAATAAGCCTACGTATACAAAAGGCCACAACTTACATTGACAAATTCTCCAGTCCACACAGTGAGAAAGAATGTTGGCAAAATCATGAAACTAGCATTGTAAAAAAGGACTCCGTATTTCCCCAATTCCTGTAACATTACACAAAAAACAATGAGAGGATATTAGAACGGAAAGGTATATGGGATTTCAGACTTTTTTTTTACTTGCATAGAGTTACAAAATCTGTCATATGTTTTACTGCTGTCTGTGTTAATGTTAGGAAGATTCCCTCTCACTTCTTGATGGTGACCACACAGAGACCAAAGGAAATCTTCATTCCAAACCTTGCTTACTCTATCCAAAGCATTAGTGTTGGCTGGACTTTCACTTTTAAACTATATCTATTCTACTGAAAAAAATGGAAAAAAAAAAAATTATACTGATTGCTAGTGACCTTTCTGTGATGTGAACTCTCTTGCTTCCGTGCATTAAGTCACAAATCAAGAATAAGTATTAAAGCGGACAAGCCAGCATCTTGGCCAGGTTAACTAGAATTTTCAGAAGGAATGAGCAACATTCTCACATCTGAAACTGTTAATATCTTATCTATTATACTACGCTAAGAAAGAAATACTGTTGAAGTGGACCTTGATGGACCCCCCTACTGTGTCATCCTGGGAGGCCATGATTGATGCCGCTCTTCCTATGTATAAAAACCTACCTATATGAATCGCAGGTGTCTATGGATATATGACCCTGGACGTCACGGTAGTGGGGTTTATGGTTGGGCTCACTTCTGGTTTTTTGGGCTCTGCACCCATAGGAGATGTGGTATGGGACCTTTTACCCCTGCCCCCACCTCCTCCCCTTCTCACCCTCCCTCCTGCTGTATCTATTCCTGTGGGCTCAAGAAGCCCTGGCTTTTCCTGGGAATTGCATGTAACCTGGTATGGCTAAATGTGTGGTTAGGAATATCCAATTGGATACTCTGTTTTTTCCATTCCTTTTGTTTCATGCTCACCATGTCAATGAGCTTTGATTGCAATCTATTGTACAGTAATGTACTTTCAATAAAGCACTCCGTCTTTGTAGAAAAAAAAAGAAAAAATAATTTTCAGAAGGAAAAGCAGCAGTGGCAGCCCCCATATCTCTTTTGGTAAAGGTTTGCTTAAAAGTAAACCTGTACCTTAGCTATGCAGGGCAATGCAGCAGGTTTGCTGTAACTACTAGCCAACAGGGCACTTATATCCCCCTTCCTGCCCAGGCCAATTTCCAGCTTTCAGCACTGTCACACTTTGAATGACAATTGCGCAGTCATGCAACATTGTACCCATATGAAATTTTTATCATTTTTTTGAAACAGATAGAGCTTTTGGTGGTATATAATCAACTCTGGGATTTTTATTTTTTCTTAAACCAAAAACCACTGAAAATTTTGAAAAAAAAAAAGTTTTTTTTCTTAGTTTTTGTTATACAATTTTGTAAATAAGTGATTTTTCTCCTTCACTGATGTGCGCTAATGAGGCTGCAGTGAAGGGCACTGATAGGCTGCACTGATGGACACGGATAGGTGGCACTGAGGAGGCACTGGTAGGTGGCACTGATGGGCATTGACAGGCATCACTGGTGGGCACTGAAAGGCAGCACTGATACATGACACTGATATATGGCACTGATATATGGCACTGATAGGCAGCACTGACTGGCACTGATAGGAGGCACTGACTGGCACTAATAGGCGACACTGATTGGCAGCACTGATAGGTGGCACTGATGGGTGACATTGAAAGGCAGCTCAGATGGGCACTGATATGTGGCATTGATGTGCACTGGTATGCACTGATATGTGGCATTGATGTGGCACTGATGGGCACTGGCACATGGCACTGATGGGCACTGGCACGTGGCACTTCTGGGGCCACACTGATCATAAGTGCCCTGATGATCAGTGTACATGTGCCCTCCGCAGAAAGCCGATTACCGGCTCTCCTCTCCTCTCGAGCTGTCAGCGTGACAGCTCGAGAGGAGAGAAATGCAGATAACCGGCATTTCCGTGTATACATGTGATCAGCTGTGATTGGACACAGCTGATCACATGACTGAGCCGACATCTTCAGCTCTTTCCGTGATCCGCTGTGTCCGAGGGACACAGCGCACCGGCGATCGCCGCCCTGCGCGCTCCGAGCCACGCATGCGCATTGAGAATGGTAAGACGTCATATGACGTCCTATCAGAACGAGAGAACCACCTTGCGCCGTCATTGTACTATAGGGAGGGGGCGGAAGGTGGTTAAAGAAGAGTTCCAGGTATGAATATTTTACACATACAGTAAATACCTTGGCCCAGCTTGTATCACTGTAACTATGCATATACCTTACCTGGCTGATCCCAGAGTGAGTGCAACATGTTGTCCAATTGGACAAGGTGGAGCACTGCCCACCTCTCCATCTCATCTAAACAGCCACTCAGCACAAGACACAGAAGAAAGTTGGGACCACTGGAGTAACGGTGTCTACTTCAGTGATTTCCAATTCCAATTTCCAGGAGGATCAGTCAGGTACGGTATATACATACAGTGGGTCTAGAAAGTCTACACACCTGTTAAAATAACAGGTTTTTGTGATGTAAAAAAATGAGACAAAAGATAAACAGGGCTGATGAATGGAGAGGGAACAAAGTTAAGGTGAGCATATACAGCTGGGGAGGGGTAGGGGGCATTACAGAGGAATTCCAGGTATGTATATTTTATACATGGCTCAAGCTGGACCAATGTAACTATGTATAAAATATACTTGCCTGGAATTCTTCTGTAATGCCCCTCCCCAGCTGTATATGCTAACCTTAACTTTGTTCCCTCACAATTCATCAGCCCTGTTTAAGCTCTGAGTTACAATCATGGCCAAAAATATTGGCACCCCTACATTTCTGTCAGATAATGTACCAGTTCACACAGAAAATTGTTGCAATTACAAATGTTTAGGCATTCTCATATTTATTTCTTTTGTTTGTATTGGTACAACACAAAAAAAGTGGAAAAACAGAAAAGCTAAATCTGATACATTCCACGCAAAACTCAAAAAATGGACTGGACAAAAATTATTGGCACCCTCAATTTAATATTTGGTAGCACACCCTTTGGAAAAATAATACTGAAATGAATCACTTCCTGTAGCCATCAATGAGTTTCCTACACCTCTCCACCACCACTGGAATTTTGGACCACTTTTCTTACGCCAATTGCTCTAGGTCTCTCAGATTGGAAGGGTTCCTTTTCCCAACTGCGGTTTTGAGATCTCTCCACAGGTGCTCTATTGGATTGAGATCTGGACTCATTGCTGGCCAGTTCAGTACTCTCCAGTGCTTTGTCTGAAACCATTTTTGGGTGCTTTTTGACTTGTGCTGTTGGTCATTGTCCTGCTGTAAGACCCATAACCTCTGACAGAGACCCAACTTTCTGACACTGGGCCCTATACTTCACCCCAGAATCCTTTGGTAGTCTTCCATTTTCATAATGCCATACACACAATAAAAACATCCAGTGCCTGAAGCAGCAAAGCAACCCCAAAATATCAGTGGACCTCCATCATGTTTGACTGTAGAGACTTCTCTTTTCTTTAAAGGCCTAAAGGCCTTATTGATTTTTTTTTAAAAACAGTAGAATGATGGGCTTTACCAAAAAGCTGTAGTTTTGTTTCTTCTGTCCACAACACATTCTCCCAAAAGGATTTTGGCTTTCTCAGGTAAGTTTTGGAAAACTCCAATCTGGCTTTTTTATGTTTCTCTGTCAGTAGTGGGGTTCTCATGGGTCTCCACCATAACCCTTTTCATTCAGATTGTGACCTATAGAGTGAGCTGACACAGTTATACCCTGTGCTTGAAGGTCAGCTTGAATTTGTCTGGAAGTTGATCAAGGTTCTTTAGCCATCATTCAAACAATCCTTCATTGCAATCTTTGATTATGTTTTTTTCTTTCGTCCATGTCCAGGGAGATTAGCTACAGTTCCATGGGCTGTAAACTTCTTGACAATGTTGCGCACAGTGGACACAGGAACATTAAGATCTTTGGAGATGGACTTATAACCTTGAGGTTGTCCATGCTATTCCACAAATTTTGCTCCCAAATCCTCAGAAAATTCTTTGCTGCCCTTTTTTTTCCTCCAAGACCCATGTGGCACACAAGGACACACAACAGAGAAGTTGAGACAATTTTTCATCATTTTAAAATGGTTACTGGTGTGATTTCTATATCATCAGCACTTGCTAATTGATACAGGTGAGTTTAATTACAAATTACAGGAGCATCACAAACTTGGAATGCAATTATTTATTGCAATTTTGAGAAGGTGCCAATAATTTTGCCCAGTCCATTTGTAGAGTTTTGTGTGGAATGTGTCAGATTTGGCTTTTTGTTTCTCCACTTTTTTGTATCTTACCAATACAAACAAAAGAAATAAACAGGAAAATTCCTAAACCTTTGTAATTGCAACAATTTTCTTGGCGAAGTGGTGCATTATCTGACAGAAATGCAGGGGTGCCAATATTATTTTGACTGTACTTTAGTCAGTGTTTACACAGGACTATTTGCGCACCCCATGTGATATGCTCGAGACCAGTCCTCAAGAACCAGCACTGTTGCATGAGAGGAATGGGACTAGCCACTACTCCATACACAGGAGTATAAGATATTTTCTCAGTCCCCAGGGGATGAACAAAGTGGCAGGACAGCTGAAGTAAAGTAGGAATGTGCTGCTGGGGTGGATCAGACATTAAAGATATACTGTCAGTTTGCTCACTGAAATAACCCCCTACTGCTCCTTTTCCAGTCACAACCACTACCAAAAAACAGCTTGTATTGGCTGTTTTCAGCACCTAAAGGGAGTGGTAAAGTCCTAACTCTCCACCCCCCTCCCCATCACATAAAAGTACTCAGGAATAGTGACTCTCCAGTGAGCTCAAGCACTGACATATGCGCCCCCATAGCTGGAAGAACCAGGTACTGTAACCAGATGAGGTTGAAAAACAAATTGAAATTTTTTAGGGGGGGGAAGTAAACATAAAAATTAAAATGTGATTGCATAAGTGTGCACACCCTCTTATAGCTGGGGATGTAACGGTGTTCAGAATTAAGCAACCACATCCAAAATCATGTTAAATAGGAGTCAGTATATACCTGCCATTATTTAAAGTGCCTCTGATTAACCCCAATAAGTTCAGCTGTTGTAGTAGATCTTTCCTGACATTTTCTTAGTCGCGTCCACCAGCAAAAGCCATGGTCTGCAGAGAGCTTCCAAAGCATCAGAGGGATTTCATTGTTAAAAGGTATTAGTCAGGAGAAGGATACAAAAGAATTTCCAAGGCATTAGATATACCATGGAACACAGTGAAGACAGCCATCATCAAGTGGAGAAAATATGGCACAACAAATGGACATCCCTCCAAAGTTGATGAAAAGATGAGAAGAAAACTGGTCTGGGAGGCTGCCAAAAGGCCTACAGCAATATTAAAGGAGTTGCAGGAATATCTGTCAAGTTCCTACATGTGCGGTACATGTGACAACAATCTCCCGTATTCTTCATATGTCTAGGCTATGGGGTAGAGTGGCAAGATGGAAGCCTTTTCTTACAAAGAAAAACATCCCCATCAAGCCCGGATACATTTTTCAAAAACATATCTGAAGTCTCCCAAAAGCATGTGGGAAATGTGTTATGGTCTGATTAAACCAAGGTTGAACTTTTTGGCCATAATTCCAAAAGATATGTTTGCCGCAAAAACAACACTGCACATCATCAAAAGAACACCATACCCACAGTGAAGCATGGTGGTGGCAGCATCATGCTTTGGGACTGTTTGTTTTTCTTCAGCTGGAACTGGAGCCTTAGTCAAGGTAGAAGGAATTATGAACAGCTCCAAATACCAGTCAATGTTGGCACAAAACCTTCAGACATCTGCTAGAAAGCTGAACATGAAGAGGAACTTCATCTTTCAGCATTACAATGACCCAAAGTATACATCCAAATCAACAAAGGAATGGCTTCACCAGAAGATGATTAAAGTTTTGGAATGGTGCAGCCAGAGCCCAGACCTGTATCCGATCAAAAAGCTTTGGGGTGATCTGAAGAGGGCTGTGCACAGGAGATGCCCTTGCAATCTGGCAGATTTGGAGTGTTTTTACAAGGAAGAGTGGGCAAATATTGCTAAATCAAGGTTTGCCATGCTGATAGACTGATACCCAAAAAGACTGAGTGCTGGAATAAAATCAAAAGGTGCTTCAATAAAGTATTAGTTTAAGGGTGTGCACACTTATGCAACCGTATTATTTTAGTTTTTTTTATTTTTACTTCCCTCCACCTAAAAGATTTCAGTTTGTTGTTCAACTGAGTTGTACAGTTTATAGGTTTCATTAAAGGTGGAAAAAGTTCTGACATGCTTTATCTTTGTCTAATTTTTTTTATATCACAGAAACCTGACATTTTAACAGGGGTGTGTAGACCTTTTATATCCACTGTACTTGTCTCAGTCCACAGCATTGTCATTTCTGTATGCTGCCTTGTTCATCAGCATGACTTAAATCTGACAAGCTTTTCTGACACAGAGAAAAAAAATGTGGACAGGGGAGGGACCTCTAGTAGATTGGCAGCCTCAGCTCTGTTCCTGTGTGCTGTGTGTGATCCTTTCCTCCAATCAGCTCTAAGACCTCTCTTCACTGAGCTCTGCAAAGTGTAACCTTAGCTGGGTTTGGAAGGGTAGATACCAACAGATCTATGCAGCTGTGGAAAAATATCTTGCATGGAAATAGGTGCTAATAGGTACAGAAGAAGAAAAGGTTGGATGTGTTCCTAAAATAAACTATAAAAGATTACCTATATACACAGCACATTGATCCACAGACTTAGATTGTCGAAAGGATTTTTTCCCTGTTAAACTGGGTCATGATTAACACATTTATGTGCGTTCATTGTTTTTTTTAATTAAATTGAGGGACTTTTATCTTTTTCAATCTAATTTAATATAAAAACTGGATGCTGAAACTAAGAATAAGAACACCCCACTTGGCAATCTGAAATTAAAAAAACATGACAAAATATTCTCTAATTGTATTTTAT